ACAATAACACACTTGTTTCCATGTTAATATATATCTAACTTGATTGGATCGAACTATGATATGTAGCATTTTCTACAGTAATAGATAAACTTAGTTGGCAGGACAATTGACTTAAACAAAACAAAACAACAACAACAACAACAAAACAAGTCAAATACTTAAAGTCAATAATGAGTGACTCATAATTGATTCTTTAAGGCTATTATTATTATTTGTTCTTATGTTTTCTTTTTAGTAAGTATAAATAAATGCTGCTATATTAATCTCTGTTCAATGTACTAACAATTACTCATTCCTTAAATATACATATAGATAAGCAAAAGAATGCATTCACATATATCTATCTATCTGCTCAATTGTTCAATAAAAGGTAAATGTTCATTTGATGAACAGATTTATATTTTTTGTGCTGTGTATGTGCGCATACTGGTTTACGGGTATAGATACAAGTATATATTGTTCGGGCAGTGAAACATACTTTTATTCATACAAATGAAATGCATCTGAATGTGTATTTACTTAGATTTGAGTAGATAAAAAGAAAATAACATTGTTTTGAGTAAAAAAAATGTAAAATTTTAGAATCATTAGTATTAGTAGTTAATAATAGCTGTTTTAATCAGGTGATTGAATGTAGGTACATGACATCATTGATTAGACTGTAAATCGTTATCGTTTGGGATTAAGATTGAAGTAATACTAATTTAAAGGAAACTTTAATGATCAAACGGATTATTTAAATGATTAATTGATTCTTTTTGACGTATAACATACATTGAATGCTCTAATAAGGAAATAAATAATTGGACTACAATATTCTACTCATGATAAGTCATCGAATTGCTTTTGGTTTCATTTCATTCAACGTACTTCTACTTCTTAAGCAGAGATAGATCGGGGCTAGTAGTAAGGCTTCGGATGGGCTTTTTTCTGCATTTTGAACTCATCAGCCGGACGTACCTGCATCCCAGAGTTAATGTTAGTTTCGGGATTACAACCCAGTAACTTTTGCTTCAAAAGTCGTTGTACTATCCATTTAGTCACTATGCCCAGGTAGCCACTAGCTTGTGTATTGAGTTAAATTTTAGTTTTAATTCATATACAGTTGTTGTTTTAATCTTCCTATTGATGTTTAGGCATGCAATTGATCGGTCGCTTTTGACATATGTGCCAGCCACCATTCGTCTGTGTTTAAAACGCTTATCATCTTATGATAATATTGCAGCAATTTTAACAGGATGCATATATGCCGAAAGAAACTGATAAGTTGCAATCCTATACACCAATGGGAAGATTCAAACAACTAATATAAATGATTTATGATTCTATTTAGTTTCAACCAGAGGAAGCAAAAAGGAAATAATAAACCTATATACAAGACCTACGGTCTTAGCTAACTGGTGTGGTAGTTGAATTTTTCCCAGTCTCTTTCTATTTCATTCAGCACCAGACTAAGGGGTTGAAGAGTGATCTTAGAGCTATATTACTCGTGTAAATTCTATACACTCAAGTTTACAATGTCAATAATTGACTTTGGTTCATACTTGTCTGAAAATTTATTAACTGATGGTGGCATTCTCTACTCTGTGGCTCTACAGTTTATGAACAATTGCTTCTAACATGGTGAGCTGTGTAGATTGTTAGATCAGTGCTGAAGACCGTCATACTACAATCAAGTGAATGTTGATTAAACTAATGCAATAAAAACCAGTAACTAATGAACACTTGTATAAAATCATTTAGGTTGTGACTAGCATTAGAGTTTGAGATGCATATTTTGACCTACTTGAGACTCATCAGCTGGATATTCCTGCATTGTAGTTTTAGTGTTTGCAGTAGGATTCAAACACAGTACTTTCTATTTCAAACACAAACCTTTAGATAAATTTGTTTAAGGTTAGACTGAAACGTTTAAGAAACGGTTAATAATAAAGTTGGTGCAATCAGTTTATAATGTCAATTATTTCAGAACGTCTTCTAACTTTGAATTTTTTATACTCCCATTTGCTCATCATAAAACTGTTTTTATGGGCCAGATTGTCGCAATATCACATTTTCTCTATCACACAAAGAGGAGCACACATTTCAGTGCAGTGTTTTATGGCTGTTAAGTTTCGTGTAAAAAATGAAATCTATTTGCCAACAAAGCTTTCGAAAATTGTTCTGTAATTCAATTGAAATGGTCATTAAAGTAGTCATTCGTCTGGCTAAAATTGCCTTAATAAAAGCAACCTTATTTTAACGTTTAAATCATTCAGAAGGCGTTTTGTACAGATTTCAGTATTTTCATAGTTGAAATCATGAGTAAACTGAAGCTAGACCACCATGGAAAACCTGGAAGCACTGGACGGCCAACTCGTCCTATTGTGGGACTCTTCAGCGGTGCGCATTCACGATCCCACCTCGCGAAATTTGAACCCAGGACCTACCATTTGCTCAAACTTCGTGCATTGGTTGAATTTAGACATTAACACCGTTGGATGCCGAGTCAGTGGTCTGTCGGTTAAGCGCTCTTGTGCGAGCCTGGAAGGTCCTAGGTTCGAATCTCGCGAGTCGGGATCGTGAATGTGCACTGATGAGCAGTCCTACAATAGAACAAAACGACCGTCCAGTGCTTTCAGGTTTTCCGTGGTGGTCTAGCTTCAATTGACTAATGATTTCAACTATAGAAGTTTAAATCATTGTTGAGATCTTATTCCGTCGGCAAAAAACCAAGACGAATAGATACGCATATATATTTTACTGGGGTTTTTACTAAAGCAGTAGCACAAAAATCCTCTTAATGAAATTTTTCAAGTTGTTTTATTGTGATGAACCAATAACGTTCAGATAATGACTATAAAACGTTCTCCTGACCATTGTATTCTTACAAAGCGTTTCCAAAAGAAAACTACTGAGAAATATTTGGAACGTCTTGGATTGAAAAAGACAATTCTATAATGCCATTGAAAGTAAAATTGACATTGTACAATTGAGAGGGTGCCCAATATTCTTCGTCCTTCTAAGTTAGGAGTAATCGATAGGGTACGTAAATAAGACCTAGTTTTCGGGTTTATTTGAATTTTACTCACACAAAAAGGATGTTATCAGTAATGTACAGGATGATGATCGCTAATAGATGTAGATAAGATAGTTTTACGACTATGCATTTTGTCTATTAACAGATATATATATATATACAAAATACGGCATCTACTTAGGCCTGCCATACCACTGTTGGTACGTACCAAACAATTCGGATACAGTTTAATAACCTGTCAAATAGATATATTTGATCTTTTGTGCCGTTACCTTTGTTTAAACCCAAATCAAAACATTTTCATGAATTCATTTAGGAATAATCAGTGATTAACTTCATAGTGGAAGTTCCTAATGAATGTAGCTAAACTTGAATTAATTAAATAATTTGATGTGCTCTTGTTGTGCCAAAAAGAACTAATTATGTTTTGTCTTATCACTTGCTTTGTACTGTGCGGCATTTTAAGCAAAAACGTATTCAGAGCTAACGCTTATTCAACCAGTACTAGCAAATATGTTTTACATAGCATAATTTAGTGTCTTCACAAAAAATGGCAGCATGGGTAATAATATTGACAACTGAATAGTAACGTTACAATAATCTAGGTAGGCTGTGTTCGTTCTATGTATAATTTCAAAGTATCTTTTATAAGGTAAGAGTGAGAGACTTAAACCTAATTGAACGAAATATGATGTTATATGCTTAATTTTCCTGAAAATTTACCAAAAATCACATTCTGTGTCTACATTAAGCACAATTTAACCATTTTTTAAAATATTTGTGAATCTCTTTAACCAACGTTAGTGGCACCTGAATTTTATTTCACTTTGATTACATTAAAAACATGAGACATAGATTAAGATCCCGGTTTATTTGCATATTATTTTCAAATTACTCTAGTATCTATTATGAACTTGGCTTTCGGATATATTCTAACGAAAGAACTCAAAATACCAAACGTATTTTTCGAGTCTGAAGCTGTTTAACAGTACATTAATTACGAACTACTGGCAACAAAGGGTTGATAACAAATAAGTATCATGGTAAGTATAGCCAATATTGTACTATATAGTCTAATAAGTAGTTTCCAGTAGCAAAACAGTCGTTGGAATTTGAAAAAATCACAAAGTGAGCTTGTAACGTTTTGCTAAAATGACAATTTGCTTTCAGTGTACTCGTTTGATTTTTCTTAAACGTTTTAGGTAAATATAATACATATAAGAGTAAAAAAAACATGTTCGAGCACTGATAAGATAATATAAACCCAGATTTGTCTACAGATTTGTGCTTCCATATGGAAGGAATTCTTAAAATATAGATAAAACTTCAACATAAACTCTTATCTCTGTGTTCTCATCTGGCAGTTTTAGGAAGAAATTTTCTCATGCGGTAATTTGCTACAACCGTTTGCCACCACGTTAATAATGAAGTATAGTACTCCACGATATTCTAAATCACTTAGTCACGCAATAGTTTTCACTTGTTTTCATATCAAAATTTAACACTGAAGTGGCCATAAACCTGTAACTCATTAATGAGGTGCATTTTGGCAGGTCGTCTGATGAAATTTAGAGATTTCATCCTTTTATGATGGCAGAGATTAACAAACTCGTAAGACTTATAAAGTTAACTAACTCCTAAGTGTGAAAACGTCGGCAAAAGTTTTTTAAGCAATGTGACCGACAGTGGGTATAATATACGTAACCAATTCAGGTGTGTAATAATAAAAAAGCCTGTGTGGTTCATGAGAGATGATAAGATATCACTTTACCACGTATAAAATGACTATATAGACTGGTAGTTTTGCGGATTAGCAATCACACAACAAACATTTGGCTAGATGTTTGCGGTCGTTTTGTAGTTTGAAAACAGATCCTCTTGATGTGGCTCATGTTCCAAATGTCATGAATTACTTTTGAACTATTTCAGGGTGTAAGTTAGAGGGACTAAATAAATACGCAAAATCTTTCTGCTAACTTACAGTAATCGGTCCTCGGCTGTTGTTAAAAGCTGAAGACATTGAATATCCTAGGAGAGCTCCATTTAGTCCAGGTTGCATATGAGTTTCTTTTTCTAAATCAATATCGATTCGACTACAGGTGCTCCTAAGGAGTGGGCACCAAAACAGTCCACCGTTGTTTCCTTCTGTTGGAGATCCTATGACCACCCTATATGAACAGAAAACATTAGGAAGGATATAGTTATATACCCTTTTTGTCCTGAAAAATGAGTATATCCCATTAAAGAAAAACCAAAACTAGAACCATCTGGTCCGGTTTTGAGTAGTGGAGATTTTAAATCGATGTTAAACCCATTTACTAGAGATATGTACTTGTCGAAACCATAAATATAAATGATTGTCAATAAAATAATCCAATAAAATCCAGTGAGCATTGTTTTCTCATTCGAACAGTGAGGGGCTTTCTAAATCAAACTCTACCTTGATTTTCTAGGTGAACAAAGTTAGTCCAATATCCAATTGTTTTTAACATTTTCGTAGATTCAGTTGTAGTCTGTCAGGTTATAATTGAAATTTAAAATTATAAATTGATTTGATCGTGAACGATGATCATTGATTTTTGTGTATATTCGTGATTCAGTTCAGAAACTACAACTCATCTAGATTGTATTACAGTGTAGCTGTAAATAATTCCCCAAAATCAATAGCTCATTAAGTGTTCGACATTGGATGCTGACCACGTTGTTTAAGTGGACTTGTTTAGCTGAAGGCTTTCGGTCATGCATCCGCACCAGATCACGTTTCAATACTGCGTGGGACACAGCTCCTACGTTTCATTAGCCAGCTCATAGAAAAGGTCCTCGATATATTGGTAACGAATCAAATATATCTTTCCAGCCTATTCTCGTCCGACTTCTGATTTCTATCTGACTGGGAACAACCGAATTTAGAAGGTGCTACTGGTATCTAGTTGTAAAACTAGAATATCCGTTGCATCATCATTGGTGAACCCGACGTGATCTGGTACACCAAGTCAATATACTGTGAGTCTGTTCCATTTCGGAACATTATTATTTATTGTTATTCTTTATTTGAATTTTATATATTGTGATATACCTTTTTTTTCTCGGATATATTTTACTTAGACATTTTTTGACATCTATATTACTATGACGGAACACTCTCCTAAGGTTCTTAAGTTCAAGTCTATTCCCCCTATTTCTATTCAGTTAATGCCATTTTGGCCCGACAATATCGAGTCCTGGTTCTGCTATGCAGAAGCCGATTTTAGCATGCACGGAATCACGGACTCGCGCACACGTTTCCTCGCGGTAGTTAAGGCGTTACCGCGCGAGTTTAACAGGTACGTAACACCTAGTATGTTTACTAGTGATGTTCCCGAACCTTACGAATCGCTTAAGCTATCGATTTTAAAACGAGGAGACCTAACTGATCGACAACGGTTAGACCTACTCCCTAACAATATCGACTTGCAACATGGTTCTGCGACGGACATGTTGCTTAGAATGAGAGAAGTCATCGGCCAACGAACTTTCGACGATGGCCTATTTAGACAACTTTTCTTGTCTAAACTCCCTCAACAGGTGCAGGCAGTGCTTGTTTCATTTCAAAACAATGCCATAGATGAACTAGCTGCATCTGCCGATCGAATCTTGGAAATCACTAGATCTTCTAAGGCCGAGGTTTTTTCCATCAAAGAAAAACCCCAATCGACCTCGACTGACATGGCCGAACTATGTCACACGCTTACACGATATCTTAGAGTTCGCAATGACCATAGTCGGTCAAAAACCCCGCGTAGAAGTGCCTCACGTAAGCGATCTGGCTCTCGACCACGAGAGACAGACAATCCCGAATGGTGCTGGTATCATAACCAGTACGGTAAGTTTTCCAGAAACTGCAGGAAACCTTGCAATTATCCGACCCCAAAATCGAGTGACACGAAAAACAGTTCGGGAAACTTCCCAGCCGGCACGCGTTAACGGCAACCGTAGCCGGCGAACACAGCCGCCTCTTATATGTCACGGATGTGACTACGAAAGTTCGCTACCTCGTCGACACTGGCGCAGAAGTTAGCGTTCTTCCAGCAAATCTCGACGACAGACTTCGCGAGTCTGTTTTAAGTCTACAGGCGGCAAACGGAAAGCCGATCGCTACTTACGGTAAAAGGTACGTCTACCTTAACGTGGGTTTACGCAAACCCATACACTGGATTTTCGTGGTTGCAGATGTCTCTATGCCAATCACTGGTGTAGATCTGTTACAACACCACAATCTACTCATCGACACACGCTCACGAAAGTTAATAGACAGAAACACTAAGTTATCTGTTTGCGTAACTCCTTGTTCCTGTTGCAAGTTATCCCCAGTCACGATTAAGCACACTATGGACCCCTTGTACCAATAAGTACTCTACAAATACTCCGGGATATACCAATCGCAATTGAAATTGCCTTGTGTAACCAGCAATGTTACACATCACATCTCGACTACAGGACCACCTGTATTTTCGAAAGCTCGAAGACTCGCTCCCGAGAAGCTTAGGTTAGCTAAAAACGAATTCGACCACATAATGGATCTAGGGATAATTCGACCATCGAATAGTCCATGGGCATCCCCATTGCACATGGTCCTTAAAAAGGACAGCAATGATTGGCGGCCAACTGGTGATTATCGGCGTCTGAATGCTAAAACCATTCCCGATCGTTACCCGCTGCCTCATATTCACGATTTGACAGCTACCTTGAAAGGTACAACTGTCTTTTCGAAAATCGACTTGGTTAAAGCTTATAACCAAATCCCGATGGCAACTGACGACATTCCTAAAACCGCCATCATCACTCCCTTCGGTCTTTACGAATTTCTACGAATGCCTTTTGGTTTAAGAAACGCGGCTCAAACCTTCCAAAGGTTTATAGACGACGTCTTCCGAGGTCTCAACTTCGTACATGCGTATGTTGATGACTGTCTAATAGCAAGTCCGGACAAAGAATCGCATCTCAAGCATCTGGACATTGTTTTCGATCGACTCCAACGGCATGGCATTACTGTCAACATACAGAAATTCCAAATCGGAACAAACTCCTTAGACTTCCTAGGACACACTATTGATGCCCAAGGCATCCGACCTCTTAGAAGCAAAGTGGCGGCCATTCTGGATTACCCAGAACCGACCACGATCAAGCAGTTACGAACTTTCAACGGATTCGTAAGTTTCTATAGACGGTTCATACCCAAATGCGCATCCCTTATGAAACCGTTAACCGATCATCTTCGTGGAAATGCGAAATCAATTAGTTTAGACGACATAGCCCGTAAAGCATTCTCAACAGTTAAGGAACACATCGCTAAAGCAACCTTGCTTGCTCATCAGGACAGTCAAGCGCCCATTAGTATCGCCGTAGACGCATCCGACTCAGCAATCGGCGGAGTCTTACAACAATGGGTTAACAACTCGTGGCAACCCTTAGGATTTTTCTCCGGACGGTTGCTAGACGCAGAATCTAGGTACAGCACGTTCGGTAGGGAACTCCGTGACACATCTACAGGTAGGGATCGTCCAATTGTACCAAAACACTATCGCCGCAACGTCTTCAATACGTTGCACAATCTTTATCATCCAGGTGCTCGTGCAACTGTCAAACTTATAGCCGAACGCTTTTGTTGGCCTGGCATGAATAAAGACGTGAGGGAGCGGGCACGCTCCTGTGTAAGCTGTCAGAAATCTAAGGTCATAAGACACAACAAATGTCCCTTAGGTTCTTTCAAAACCCCTGACGCTCGTTTCGACCACGTCCATCTAGATTTGGTAGGACCATTACCCGACTCGAATGGATACTCATATCTCCTAACATGCGTAGACCGTTTTACTCGATGGCCAGAAGCAGTACCGATTAAGGACATTACTGCTGAAACAGTGGCTCGCACTTTCGTCGAACGATGGGTAGCAAATTTCGGCTGCCCTTCCACGATCACTACAGACCGCGGATGCCAGTTCGAATCTGGACTTTTCCGTTGTCTGATCCTACTATTAGCAATCACGCGCTTCCAAATGACCGCCTACCACCCACAAGCAAACGGGTTGGTAGAACGTTTTCATCGACAACTAAAAGCCTCATTATCAGCTTCAAACGTTTCACAGTGGACAGACGCTCTGTCACTCGTCTTGCTAGGTATCCGCAATTCAGTGAAAGTTGACATTGGATACACTGCATCTCAACTCGTTTACGGAACGACACTCCGACTCCCAGGAGAATTCGTGGATCCTTCAGCTTCTTCATTGAACATGGATCTAAACTCTTACACGAGTAGGCTTACAAACGCTATGCGTTCAGTTAAACCTGCTCACACTCGACCTCAATCAACTGATGTTTTCGTTCAACCCGAATTACGACATAGTACACACGTTTTCGTTCGTCGAGACTCACATCGACGACCCCTCGAATCAGCATACGAAGGACCCTTCAAACCTAAGTACTATGTGGTCGATAAGAACGGTACGAACGATAGCATCAGTATCGATCGACTCAAAGCAGCGTACTTAGAAGGAAACCCTAGCTACGTCGATTTTCCTTCGGTACAAGCAAATGACACAGCCACTACACTCGTAGTACCCTACACGACAACCGTCACACAACTTGATACTTCGTCAACGTCGATAGAAAAACCTAAAACAACGCGTTCTGGAAGACGAGTAAGATTTCCAGAACATTTTAACGAATATTGCACGTAGGACATAAGCTTTATTTTGAATTACCCTTCCATAGTTCATTATAAAAAAAAATTTTTTAATATGATAATTTTTTATTTATATTAAAAAACCAAAAAAACAAAACATTTTTTATCTTTTTTTTGAGCGTATATATATATATTTTTTATATATAAAAAAAACCAAAAAAACCTCATATTTTTTCCTGATCGCTTTTACGCTGTTTGTAAGTGTATTAGTTTATTTCTTTTTCCGCTCATCTTGTGTCCTTACACAAGTACGAGTGTATTTTCGACATGCACTCACACGTTTTATTTTTCCTCTTTTCCAGGACGGCTGGAAAAGAACGACGAAGTTTCGCAAGGAACAGAAATTTTCATTGTACTATATTTCTTTATTGCTATGTTGTACATTTTGGTTCCATAGTTTAAGGAAAGACGACCAGACGCTGCTAAACGAAGCAAGCTATCAGAAGAGTGTTTACCGACGACAAATTCGTTGGGTTTAAACTTCTGGCTCGTCACGTCTTAGGGGCATCACTAACTCACTAGCGGGGAAGTGATCTGTAGCTGTAAATAATTCCCCAAAATCAATAGCTCATTAAGTGTTCGACATTGGATGCTGACCACGTTGTTTAAGTGGACTTGTTTAGCTGAAGGCTTTCGGCCATGCATCCGCACCAGATCACGTTTCAATACTGCGTGG